CCCCCCCCCCTTTCTCCCCTTCTCCCTTCCCTTTTTCCTCTTCTGTTGTCGGGTTTCCCCCATTTTGGTTTATGGAGAAAAAGAAAATGGTAACTCAGGTAAGGCTGGCGGGCGGCTGCCGTGCCCGGCTTTGTCTCGGAGGCGAGAGGGCAGCGCGGGGCTCTGCCGGAGCCCGGATGGGTGGGGGGTGGGTGCGAGAGAGCCCCGGCGCTCCGCCGCTCACCTGGCGCGGGGGTCCCGCACTGCCCTCTAGGGAGAGCGGGGCTGCTGCCGCCGGACCCGGGAGCACAAAGGTGAGCGGCCACCCCCGGAACCGAGAGCTGCCTGGCGGTCGAGGGGTGTGCATCGCCCGCTGCTCGCCTTGTAAGGCTGCTACATGGTTTGGGATTTGGGTCGCTTTTTTTAAAAAAAAAGCAACAAAAAAACTTGTTATTTTTGGCATGGCATCTGCAAGTCGCCACCGGAGGGAGGGGGGCAAAGGGAGGAGGAGAGCGGCATCGCAGAGCTGGAGTCCTTTGGAGTTGGGCATTATATAATGCCCCGCAGTGCCTTGCGGAGCTGGGAACCTTGGGGGGATATTCCTGAGGGGAGGTGGAGGGAAGAGCTCTCGCAAGGAACTTTTCTTCAGTTCGGGTTTTTTCTTCTTTCTTTCCTGCGGAGCTTTGCATTTTCCTACCCAGATGCACACTGTAGCCCTGGCTGCACTCGTTGCCCCCGGCTGTGTCCCTCTGTGCCAGCCCTGACTGAGCTCTGCATGTCCCGCTGCACGGGGCCGAGCAATCTGCTGCAGGGAGGGAAACCCTCTCTGACCCTTCCATCTCCCATCCCACTTCCATTGTCAGGGGCTGAAAAATGGGTCTCTGTCCTATGTAGTAAGGTATCTCCCAAGCCCCACCTCTGCTCCTGCTGTTTCGTCCCATCCATTACTGATTCCTTTATATCTGGACCGAGGCTTTCTGTTTTGAGGCTGAAGAGCTCTGCAGAAATCTCCGGAGGCACTCTGAACCTATGTTTAGTTCCGTGAGTGATGGAGAAAAGCTGTTTCTTCGCAGGCGGGGTCCGTTTGTGTGTGGCTACATGCTCGGGCTGTGCCGGGCTGGATGGAGGGGGATGCCCATGGGCGCATTCTGGAGTTGCTATGCACAGCTTTATATGCAGGGTGCTCCCTGCCACCACCGTTATGCAGTGCGGGATGGCGCTGAGCGTGTGCGGTCAGTGTGTGCCTGGGAGCTGGCACCTCAGAGCTGCCTGATTTGGAGAAAGAGGTGCTGGGGAGGATGGGGTGCTGCTGGAGCACTCGGTGAAACGGGAGAGCAAATGGAAATTCACCTAGAGCTTTGGGATGCGATTGGGCTAGATGACCTTACTGGTCTTTTCCTACTGTAATGGATCTTAGATATCCTTGTGGACCGCACATTGTTCGCATTGCTTGACCTTGCATTATAGCTGTCTTAAGAGCATGCAGTACCCAGGCTAGGATTGCAGGGTTTGCACTGCATAGTGATGCACTGATGTTGAGGAAGATGCACGTGTGAGAAAACCCCAACAGTAAGGAGCAGAGCTTGGGCTTCCCCTGGCTGCGGCTCTGGGGATGATGATGATGATGCTCGTTTAGGTGAGCACCGCAGTGCTGGGCTGCATGGGGGACGGTGGCATCTTGAGGGGCGATGTCCCCGTCCACAGCATGCTGCAGTGGCGTGGCCTCATTCACAGCTTGTGAACTTGCTTCCTTGGGGCTCCATTTAGCTTATGAAAAGTCCACGTTGCTGGTACCTGAAGCTGCTGAATGAATTCAGCATTGCTGTAGCAATGCCTTGCTCTGCTTGGTTCCATCTCCAGACGCCGCTGTCTGCCTTGTCTGTTGCTTTTTAGGGAGCAGCTTGCCCGTTTCCTTTGGAAATCTGGGAGATGAGCTCTTGTATAGGCACGAGGGGATGGTGAGACAAGGTAGATTGCAGCTGGTGAGGAGAATGGAAATAGCGATAGACGGGAGGTGCTGGAAGGGAAGAAGAGGAAACCTAAATAGCTAATTGAAAGCAAGAGCTCAGATTCATTAACAGAAAGCACCCTGCTCTGATTCACCCCCCCCCCCCCCCCCCC